TATAACGCGCGGTGTTTTCACCAGCGTGTAGTAAAATTAACACGTACGTGGTATTTGCGAATATAAAATAATTTTTTCGCCATGCTTTGCGGATGCTATACTAACAGATTTTTGCTATACACGTGCTTTGTCGTTAATTTGCAAAAGTTAACTTTAAATCGTTCTTTAAATGTCATATATATATATTGAATAAATAATTTGTAATCTACTGTAATGATATAAATTATAAATGTTTGATCTGACTATTATGGCGTGACAGAGTTGATAACGAATAATGAGGTAATTTGTATCTTTTTAAACTTGAATTCTTTCCATTCGTTAATCTTTATTTCAAAATTTTTTCAGATAAATGAAACATATAAATCTGTATATACACCTCTAAATAGTACAATAGCAAATAATAGAAAGGCAGAGGTATAAATTTACGAAAATTGATTCCGGTGAATACATGACGGTGTTAATAGGATACGGAAAACTTTTCTTAAAAATACGACATATTATATACTCGCGCGGGGGGGGGGGGGGGAGAGTGAATACATTATTCATCCAGAAATATTCCACGGGAATAAATCGGACGATGCATGGCGCGGAAATCATAATGAATTATGCTTACACCGCCTTGATATGAATTTGACGTGGGCGTGAGCTCGCGCAAGAAGAAAAGACGAGTCGACGTTTATTCTCGAAATATTCGTCCGGATATTTTGCGTTGTACCACCAACCGGGAATGGTAAGCGCGACGGCGCGACGTCCGCGTCGGAGAACAAATGATTTAATGAGAGAAGGGCTGGAAACCCGACAGTAGCAGCCAACCGGGAAATGAGAGAGGGAAAAAGGGAGACGAGGTGGCGGAGAGTACGAGTGAGACGGCGAAAATACGGCTTGCGGACACGCCGCGTATGAACCCTCCGATGCAGCGAAATACCAATGAAACTCGGGCGAATGGGGGGAGGGGGGGCCCCGGCTGCGTGCGGAACTTTTCGGGACAATTCTCGCGCGTTTTCTCTCTCTCGGCTGGTTATTATGCCTCGGATAACATTACACGTGACGATTAATGCGGAGAGCTTATTCAACGGCGTTTTATTCTTAGTTACATCATCAGATCGCAAATATTTGATTTTCCTCTCTGTCTCTCTCACCTCGCCTACGTCATTATCTTCTGCGTCGAGTAACCGATCGAACTGGAGACATTCGCTGTGCGCGTAGCTTTCAGAAATGTTTGGATTGTGTGATTCGATAATGCTTGTGTATCTGCTACCCCCTTACAAGGATGATAATTTAACCAGGCTGAGAGTCACGCGACTACATTCAGTGGGATTGTATGGATCCCGCGGATCCAACTTTACCGCGCTTTAAATGAACGCGTCTCGGTATACGTGATGAAAATTTGAGATTCGTTAGTACGACGAACGCCGCGAGGAAGTTTCGACGTGTCAAGATTAGACGTGCAACTTTTAACCATTCTGTAGTAACCAACTGTTTTACGGGATAAAAGTTTCTTTTCTTATTGCACTTTATACGAAAAGAAAAAAAAGAGGGAAAGAATAATGAACAAATGTAAGTCTTTACCGCGTCTTTTATGGTTGTGTTTTATGTACGCAACTTCCATCGAGGATTGTCGCATTATTACCTACCAAAAAATTTCGCCGACAACGACATAGCATACTTTTTTACGATGTCAAACAAATTTCCGTCGACTCAAGCGAAATCTTGTCAGAGACGATATCTGATGCTCAAGCAAAAATCCACAAAACGCTCGAACGAATCGCACAACTTTGTAGAATTCCCTCTTGAAAATCGTGACGGGTGGTACTGTAAAACTTTTACGACACGCATTATGATATGCGGAGCGAAGTCGGTCGCGTTTGTGGAAATGTAAAAAAAAAAGAGGAAACGCATAACATACGGGGGATGGATTCAACCAGACGATAGTTCGCTCGCAACGCGAGATCTCATCGTGCGTAAAGCGAGCGTTATGATTTTCGCGCCTTTCTACGCGCCCGACGTTTATTGAAAGAATTTACAACGACAAAAACTTAATAAAGGCCGCGACGTTCCTCGCACGCTCGAATGAATCGCGCGGCGAAAATCCTCGACGCTAGATTACAACAGGTGCACGTTGTTACACGAAATTACAACCTTGTTCGTTACAGTAGGCGAGAAAAAGGGAAAAGGAGGAGAGAGAGAGAGAGAGAGAGAGAGAGAGAGAGAGAGAGAGA